AGGAGACAGTCATCATTTTTCGGCCAGGTTAATGAGAAGAGTGAAAATGGAACATGTGGTGACCACTAGAAAGATCTGTGGAAGGAGGGATAGAGGAAGACAACAAGAAAAGATTTTTGACAGTCTTGTTGCATAGCATGCAGGTGTGTCAGCACACGAACTAATACATGCCACAGCAGATCGCAGATTGTGGCGAGGCGTAATCGCGCACGTCAGTCGGCAAGGCACCTGATGATGATGATACACTATTTGTATTCGTATTCGGCCAAATAGTTGGTCCTACTATTCGTATTCAGCCGAATAGTGAAAATCACTATTCGGTACAGCCCTACTGATCAGCCATAGAGGCTTCTATCTCATAGTTGACAGAAAGTTGTCAGATATGATTAAGTACAATCATGAGTACACATATGAATGCAAATAACATAATGAGACGACAGTAACAAGCTTTAACATATAACACTGTGCACAATAAATCACGATATAAATTAAATTTCAATATGTACACAAAACTGACCGAATCACAATATGAATATTTATACATATACACATAACATAGCAAATAAACACAATTGCTATAAAAAATACCCATACCTTGCCCTGTAGGCCTCCTTTGTGAGTTTGTGGGTGAGCATCTAAACATTTCTGGTAGCGAAGCTAAAATTCAAATACAATGAAAATTATTAGATTCTGGCTTATGATACGTTTTAAAAAAATACATAAGGAATGCACATGGTGGGAACGAAGGTTAACATAATCACTTGGCTACAGTGTCCAGGCCATTCTGGCATATGTGGAAATACAGGGAGAGGCTGGATGGCTTCCAGAGTACCTTTAGAAGAAATGCTGATGTTGAGGAGGGAGACAAGATACATGGATGCATGATTGCCTGCAACGGAGCACCAGGTCCCAGGCATATACAAGTCAGATCTATCAAAGCTTCTGTGTGGTTATTCTAGAGATAAGTTCCTTCTTGGTGCCTGGCCAATGCAGACAGGATTTGTGTTTCCTTTGAAACTGAAGAGCATCTGCCTATGAGGCAGGGAACCAACAGTCTGTACACAAATAAGCCAGACCTGTAAAATGGATGAGTTGGCAAAACTCAAGTTCTGGAAAAAGACGATAAGTCCAGTAGTGGATAAACCATAAATTTCTGCTGGAGTTTAAAGTAGGTGAATGTTTGAATGAACGAACAAACTTTATTTTCAAAGGGTTACATATTAGGCACGCAGACCAGTCTTACATTCGGCCCTTCCAAAGTCCCATCTTTCACACAGCAGTTGTAATTTATCAATGAAGCATGTTAAGTTCATGTAATAATATGCATATTATGAATATCAAGTCAAAAACAAAAGCACGGGTGGTAAAATATGTGCACATGCTCCCTCTTCAGAAGAAGAAGACAACATCAAGAGCGACATCATGGAGAACATCCGACACAGGTAATGGGCAATTTTAGAACAACAAGATGGGAAACATCAGACCAACATAATAGGAAACATCAGACCAATATGATGGGGAACATCAGACCATTATGATGGGGAACATCAGACCAACATGATAGGGAACATCAGACCATTATGATGGGGAACATCAGACCAACATGATGGGGAACATCAGACCATTATGATGGGGAACATCAGACCAACATGATAGGGAACATCAGACCATTATGATGGGGAACATCAGACCATTATGATGGGAAACATCAGACCATTATGATGGGGAACATCAGACCAACATGATGGCGAACATCAGACCATTATGATGGGGAACATCAGACCAACATGATAAGAACACCAGACTAACATGATGGGGAACATCAGACCAACATGATAGGAAACATCAGACCAACATGATGGAAAACATCAGACCAACATGATAGGAAACATCAGACCATCATGATGGGGAACATCAGACCAACATGATGGGGAACATCAGACCAACATGATAGGAAACATCAGACCAACATGATGGAGAACATCAGACTAACATGATGGAGAACATCAGACCAACATGATGGAGAACATCAGACCAACATGATGGAGAACATCAGACCAACATGATGGAGAACATCAGACCAACATAATGGAGAACATCAGACCAACATGTTGGAGAACATCAGACCATCATGTTGGAGACCATTATGATGGGGAACGTCAGACCAACATGATAGGGAACATCAGACCAACATAATGGGGAACATCAGACCAAGATGATGGGGAACATCAGACCATCATGATGGAGAACATCAGACCAACATAATGGGGAACATCAGACCAACCTGATAGGAAACATCAGACCAAAATGATGGGGAACATCAGACCAAGATGACGGAGAACATCAGACCAACATGATGGAGAACATCAGACTAACATGATGGAGAACATCAGACCAACATGATGGAGAACATCAGACCAACATAATGGAGAACATCAGACCAACATGATGGAGAACATCCAACACATGTAATGGGAAACATCAGACCAAAATGATAGAGAACATCATACCAACATGACGGAGAACATCAGTCCAAGATGATGGAGAACATCAGACCAACATGTTGGAGAACATCAGACCAACATGATGGGGAACATCAGACAAACATGATGGGGAACATCAGACAAACATGATGGGGAACATCAGACCAACATGATGGGGAACATCAGACCAACATGACGGAGAACATCAGACCAACATGACGGAGAACATCAGACCAACATGACGGAGAACATCAGACCAACATGATGGAGAACATCAAACACATGTAATGGGAAACATCAGACCAACATGATAGGAAACATCAAACCAACATGATAGGAAACATCAGACCATCATGATGGGGAACATCAGACAAACATGATGGGGAACATCAGACCAACATGATGGAGAACATCAGACCAACATGAAGGAGAACATCAGACCAACATGATAGGAAACATCAGACCAACATGATGGGGAACATCAGACCAAGATGATAGGAAACATCAGACCATCATGATGGGGAACATCAGACCAAGATGATAGGAAACATCAGACCAACATGATGGGGAACATCAGACCAAGATGATAGGAAACATCAGACCATCATGATGGGGAACATCAGACCAACATGATAGGAAACATCAGACCAACATGATGGAGAACATCAGACCAACATGATGGAGAACATCAGACCAACATGATGGGGAACATTAGACCAACATGATAGGGAACATCAGACCAACATGATAGGGAACATCAGACCAACATAATGGAGAACATCAGACCAACATGTTGGAGAACATCAGACCATCATGTTGGAGAACATCAGACCATCATGATGGGGAACATCAGACCAACATGATGGGGAACATCAGACCAACATGATGGGGAACATCAGACCAACATGATGGGGAACATCAGACCAACATGATGGAGAACATCCAACACATGTAATGGGAAACATCAGACCAACATGACAGAGAACATCAGACCAACATGATGGGGAACATCAGACCAACATGATGGGAAAAATCAGACCAACATGATGAGGAACATTAGACCAACATGATGGGGAACATCAGACCAACATGATAGGGAAAGTCAGACAAACATGTTGGAGAACATCAGACCAACATGATGGGGAACATCAGACCAACATGTTGGAGAACATCAGACCAACATGATGGGGAACATCAGACCAACATGTTGGAGAAAATTAGACCAACATGATGGAGGACATCAGACCAACATGATGGGAAACATCAGACCAACATGATGGGGAACATCAGACCAACATGATTGAGAAAATCAGAGCCAACATGATGGGGAACATCAGACCAGCATGATAGAGAACATCAGACCAACATGATGGGGAACATCAGACCAACATGATGGAGAACATCAGACCAACATGATGGGGAACATCAGACCAACATGATGGGGAAGATCAGACCAACATGATAGGGAACATCAGACCAACATAATGGAGAACATCAGACCAACATGTTGGAGAACATCAGACCATCATGTTGGAGAACATTAGACCATCATGATGGGGAACATCAGACAAACATGATGGGGGAACATCAGACCAACATGATGGAGAACATCAGACCAACATGATAGGAAACATCAGACCATCATGATAGGAAACATCAGACCATCATGATGGGGACATCAGACCATCATGATGGGGACATCAGACCAACATGATGGAGAACATCAGACCAACATGAAGGAGAACATCAGACCAACATGATAGGAAACATCAGACCAACATGATGGGGAACATCAGACCAAGATGATAGGAAACATCAGACCATCATGATGGGGAACATCAGACCAACATGATAGGAAACATCAGACCAACATGATGGGGAACATCAGACCTAGATGATAGGAAACATCAGACCATCATGATGGGGAACATCAGACCAACATGATAGGAAACATCAGACCAACATGATGGAGAACATCAGACCAACATGATGGAGAACATCAGACCAACATGATGGGGAACATTAGACCAACATGATGGGGAACATCAGACCAACATGATAGGGAACATCAGACCAACATAATGGAGAACATAAGACCAACATGTTGGAGAACATCAGACCATCATGTTGGAGAACATCAGACCATCATGATGGGGAACATCAGACTAACATGATGGGGAACATCAGACCAACATGATGGGGAACATCAGACTATCATGATGGAGAACATCAGACCAACATGATGGGGAACATCAGACCAACATGATGGGGAACATCAGACCAACATGATAGGGAACATCAGACCAACATGTTGGAGGACATCAGACCATCATGTTGGAGAACATCAGATAATCATGATGGGAAACATCAGACTAACATGATGGGGAACATCAGACCAACACGATGGAGAACAATCAGACCGACATGATGGGGAACATCAGACCAAATTCATCAGAATCACATGTGAATGACAATACTGATGAACAGAATAAATCACAGACATAGAAAGAAACCCACCTTGCAAGCAGCTTCAATGGTCTTGCACATGGGGCCAGCACTGGGCTCACAGTGAAACACGTGACAGATGAACTTGTTCTGTGAGGTGTGCATGATAAAAGCACACATCCTGTGGACAGACAGACAGACAAAGCATGAACCTAGGCAAACAAGTAGCTTTCTCGTCCTTAACACTGGATTTCCAAAAACAAAACAAAAAACAAAAAAAATTGCAACAAATCAATTAATTTCATGAGCAAAACATCCCTGTGTATGTTTCGGGGTCCTATTATAGGGAAATCAAGAATAGACCCACTTCCTACCCAAACGCATGTCGTAAGAATTGACTAATTGGGAGCTTCCTTCGAAGTCGGAGTGCATCTGCAGGAGAGGCAAGGAACCAGCAGTCTGCATACAAGTTAGTCAGATCTGTCAAATGGATGCACAGGTAACACTCAGGTTCTGGAAAAGGACTGCAGTTCAGAAGTGGACAAACAGCTAAAACTTTCCGCCAGAGTTTACAGCTGGTGAATGAAGAAGAAGAAGAAGATTAGTACACACACACAAAAAAGGCAGAAACAATTCCAAAAGGTCATAGATTTTGCTGAGAGGAAAAGCATGATTTAAAAAAAAAAAAAAAAAAATCAGTGCTTGTTTAACTCTTTGAGTCCCAGGGAACGCATCATACGTTGATAGGTTCTTACCTAGAAGCCCAATGAACGCATGATGTGTTGATTTTAGTCTCTTTTTACTACCCATTAGGAGTGTGATGCTAAACCCCCTGGGACTCAAAGAGTTAATTTAAGAAAAATTTCCTTAATGGAGGTTGGCTGCAATGTTTCCACTACTAGCTATGCAAATATGACATGATGAAGCCCCAGTCTCTTCTACAGAGTGACTCTTGTATCTGAAAGCCAAGAGAGCTCTCTTTTTCTAAATCACCCACCAGGCGAATCAAACCTCGGTATACACCGTGGATACTACTTTAATTAATTCACTCATTGTCCTGACGTGCCATTCTATGTCACACAGAGCTTGTAGTCTACTTCTCCATTCCATTCTATGTCACACAGAGCTTGTAGTCTACTTCTCCATTCCATTCTATGTCACACAGAGCTTGTAGTCTACTTCTCCATTCCATTCTTTCCTGTGCAATCAATTCAATATCACGGACGCAATCCAGCCCAGCACTTTTGGTCTCTCTCATCAACATTCGTTTTAGGGTTTCTTTTGGGCATCGTTGCCTCCCTAACTCTTTGAGTCCCAAGGAATGCATCATATGTTCATAGGTTCCTAATTAGAAGCCGAATGACGCATGATGCGCTGATTTTATTACTTTCTTTACTACCCCCTGGGCCTGTGATGCTAAACCCTCTGGGACTCAAAGAGTTAATCCCTTTATTTACAATTTTAGTGCCTGAATTGTGATTCTCTGCTCACTTCTTCCCAGGATGTGTCCAACATAGCCTCATCTTCTTGGTCTTATGACTGTTGATACTAGTGGTTGATACCAGTGTGGATACTAGTGGTTGATACCAGTGTGGATACTAGTGGTTGATACCAGTGTGGATACTAGTGGTTGATACCAGTGTGGATACTAGTGGTTGATACCAGTGTGGATACTAGCCAGACATTTCTATTATTTCTTCACCCTTCTAAAACTCATCCCAATTTATGTCCATAATTTTCTTGAAATAATTTGTGATCCAGTCAGTGCAGGCTGGCTGGCTGGTTGGCTAGCTGGCTGGCTTAGTGGCTTGCTGGCTGGCAGTCTGGCTGGCGTGTACAGGCTATTTACATGCTGTGAAGGCGTAAAGTGTCTATAATGTTGTTGGTCATCAGTCTTTTTTGTGGCTGTCCTCTTGCACTTGTAATTATTCTTCTGAGATGTAGTACCTGTGATGGTATTTAATGTTGCTGCATTCTAACAAGATGGCCAAACCACTTGACCGGCTGTTTCTCGATAATCTAGTAAAATGTGTTGTTCTGATAACCTGTCTGTCACTCAACCTCAGATGGTCAGGCTGGCAGCTTCTCTCAGGCATCCCATCTCAAAAGTGGTGATTTTGCATATACAGGCTTTACATAATTTGGAGACAGTACCTTGATTAAAATGCGTAAAGTCAAAAGACCTAACCCCCTATTCCAAAGAGAATAACTGTAGGAAAGAAAGTGACCTTTTAGGCCAGGCCTCTGGTGCACTAGGCATATATAGTGCTAAACCTATTCTTGTATAGATCGATCACCAGTCAATGAACAATGTGGTCAACATCATGATGGGTACCTTGACTATCCAGAACATCACCTGGTATCAATTTTAGGTTGGCAATCATCTAATCATTAAGCCACTGCGGCTCCCTTTCATTTAATATATTGCAGTAATTTTTCAATTCGTACTGTGACACTTTATAAATTTATTCCCAGAAAACTGGGAGACAATGAGAATCTTCTTCTTCTTTGTTCACAACCTGTAAGCGCCGGCGGAAGGTCCTGGTTGTTCATCCATTTTGACTTTGGCTTTGTGCCAGGGCCTGAGTTTTGCATGTACATCCATCTGATTGGCTTTTTTGTGTGTAGTTGGTTGTTCCTTACCACTTGGGCAGATGCATTACGACTTGGAAGGAAGCCTACAATTATTCGACTGCTACGACATACTTGTCAGGGAGGCAGGGGGTCTATTCTCGTTTCCCCATAAAAGGACCTCAGAACCCACACAGGGAGACTATAAGAATGAGTTACAGACCATTACTTGTGAAAAAAGAAAACAATCTTAGTATCTTTGACCCTTAACATATTTCACAGATAGAAAACTTACTTGACGTTATCCAAAGCTATTCCCATGAAAGACAGGAACCGAACTCGAAACTCATCAATAATGCCATCAGGATTCTGGAAGCAAAGTGAGTTTATCTTTCATTTACCATCAAGTCAAAGTAGAAAAAGGCAATTTTAGTTTTGAAATTTTAAACTGCAGCAGACAGTAGTGATCAGGTATCTCCAATTCTCTCTCGTTTGATTGATTGTGCATGTTCTTTGAAAGTTCTTTGCAGAACCAAATACTGAACGATGATCAACATGAACGATGTCATCAACTCGATGAATGTTGTGTGGAATAACTGTGTTAGACGGATGGCCAGTCCACTTTGCATCAGCCATTAAGGACTGACCTACTTCAGTTTCATCATCATGATGTTTCCAGTGTTGGGCAGTGCTGACATCCACTGTTGAATCTCCATAAACATTCTTCAAACATTCACGGATGTGAATTGAGGTTCGCCTTCAGCATTGAGGAATTCTATGACATAACAGTGTTTTAACCGAATGTCTTTGGAAGCTATTTTAAAACCGTTACAGTGGTGCCACCTGTCATTGAAACAGGTTGGTAATGCTACGCAGTGCAGAACAGTGTTTGAGGAACCCTGCTAAAGTTACAAGTTACACACCTATACAGTAGTTACATACATTCAAACAGGAGGCATTACTTTTTTTTCACCATCCCTCGTATTAAAGAAGGAATCATTTAGGGAAACATACTGTGATGAAAATCACATGTTTTAAAAAAAATTTACAATATTAACTTAAGCTGTTAAAAAGTGCTAAGTGGGAAGACAGGATGGATATAGGTGAAAAGAAACAAAAGGCACAGAGCTAAAAACATACTCCATATTCCGTTATGGTAATGGTGGAGGGAGCAATGGCAACATTGACAAACTTCCAAGTTTCTGGTGGAATGCGATAGTACAGAGACTGTATGGCTTCATTTAGAACATCACGACCTGAAAACATAAAGCAGATATTTTTCTGTTATGAAATTAATATATTCTCTTCCAAGTAATTGAAAAAAGGCAGCTTTTTCTTTGGGATATCAAACTGACAATTTATCTCTCAAGCAATTGAAAAAAACAGATAGCTTTTCTTTAATTAAACTGACAATATCTCTCAAAGTAGTTGTAAAAGCAGAGAGTTTATTCCGTAATCAAACTGACAATTTATCTCTCAAGCAATTGAAAAAAACAGATAGCTTTTCTATAATTAAACTGACAATATCTCTCAAAGTAGTTGTAAAAGCAGAGAGTTTATTCCGTTGTCAAACTGACAATTTATCTCTCAAGCAATTGAAAAAAACAGATAGCTTTTCTATAATTAAACTGACAATATCTCTCAAAGTAGTTGTAAAAGCAGAGAGTTTATTCCGTTGTCAAACTGACAATATATCTCTCAAGCAATTGAAAAAAAACAGATAGCTTTTCTATAATTAAACTGACAATATCTCTCAAAGTAGTTGTAAAAGCAGAGAGTTTATTCCGTTGTCAAACTGACAATTTATCTCTCAAGCAATTGAAAAAAAAACAGATAGCTTTTCTATAATTAAACTGACAATATCTCTCAAAGTAGTTGTAAAAGCAGAGAGTTTATTCCGTTGTCAAACTGACAATTTATCTCTCAAGCAATTGAAAAAAACAGATAGCTTTTCTATAATTAAACTGACAATATCTCTCAAAGTAGTTGTAAAAGCAGAGAGTTTATTCCGTTGTCAAACTGACAATATATCTCTCAAGCAATTGAAAAAAACAGATAGCTTTTCTATAATTAAACTGACAATATCTCTCAAAGTAGTTGTAAAAGCAGAGAGTTTATTCCGTTGTCAAACTGACAATTTATCTCTCAAGCAATTGAAAAAAACAGATAGCTTTTCTATAATTAAACTGACAATATCTCTCAAAGTAGTTGTCAAAGCAGAGAGTTTATTCCGTTGTCAAACTGACAATATATCTCTCAAGCAATTGAAAAAAAACAGATAGCTTTTCTATAATTAAAACTGACAATATCTCTCAAAGTAGTTGTAAAAGCAGAGAGTTTATTCCGTTGTCAAACTGACAATTTATCTCTCAAGCAATTGAAAAAAAACAGATAGCTTTTCTATAATTAAACTGACAATATCTCTCAAAGTAGTTGTAAAAGCAGAGAGTTTATTCCGTTGTCAAACTGACAATTTATCTCTCAAGCAATTGAAAAAAACAGATAGCTTTTCTATAATTAAACTGACAATATCTCTCAAAGTAGTTGTAAAAGCAGAGAGTTTATTCCGTTGTCAAACTGACAATATATCTCTCAAGCAATTGAAAAAAACAGATAGCTTTTCTATAATTAAACTGACAATATCTCTCAAAGTAGTTGTAAAAGCAGAGAGTTTATTCCGTTGTCAAACTGACAATTTATCTCTCAAGCAATTGAAAAAAAACAGATAGCTTTTCTATAATTAAACTGACAATATCTCTCAAAGTAGTTGTAAAAGCAGAGAGTTTATTCCATTGTCAAACTGACAATTTATCTCTCAAGCAATTGAAAAAAACAGATAGCTTTTCTATAATTAAACTGACAATATCTCTCAAAGTAGTTGTCAAAGCAGAGAGTTTATTCTGTAATCAAACCGGTAATTTCTCTCGAAAGTAACTGAACTTGAACTCCTGCTGCTGTAGGCAGTTGTTAGTCACACTGTTCCAGCTAGTTGTTACTTTTGCTCATTCTATAAAAAGTAAAGTAAGTAAACAGCTCTTTTCATGACTCTGACAATAAGGTATATAGTCTATTTCTTCTGCCTTTCTAGTCCCCAGTGGAGCATAGGACCTCAACCAACTCATGCCAAGTCATTCTATCCTTTGCTATCGCATGCAGCTCTCCTAAAACAAAAATATAGGTGTGGTACTATATGTCGTAGGGTGTATAATACTAGAACTATATATATATATATACATATATATATTTTTGACCATTCAGAACTTAACGTGTTGTATGATTAATAACAACCCAGTCACCTTTTCTTCCGATGAGATTATCTGTACCCATTTTAATCTGGATTAACAGAAAGCCAATTCAATTTAAAAAATCTGTCTCTGTATTGATTTTTATTCTTCCTTTCCTTTCACCCTGCCAGTGGTTTTCAAATAAGAAGGCCACAGACCTCTATGAAGTCTGTGGTATAACTTGTGTCTTCCATTGTTCCATACAGATTGGTTTCCATTAGAATACCAACCAACCAAACCTGGGATCCCTCTACAGCCTGTAGACAACATGTCTGTAGACAACATGTCTGTTTTATAACATGTCTGTAGACAACATGTCTGTAGACAACATGTCTGTAGACAACATGTCTGTAGACAACATGTCTGTAGACAACATGTCTGTAGCACATGTTCAGTATTCTGTGATGCCTGTCCACATGAGTAAAGTAATGAACGCCCACTCTTGAATTTAGTATACATATGGCTGCATGCCAGAAAGTGTGAGTGTACTGAAGAAACCATCAGAGAGAGAGAGAGAGAGGGAGGGAGAGAGAGAGAGAGAGAGAGAGAGAGGGGGGGGGAGAGGGGGAGAGAGGGAGAGAGAGAGGGGGGGAGAGAGAGAGAGAGGGAGAGAGATAGAGAGAGAGGGAGAGAGATAGAGAGAGAGAGAGAGAGTCAGTGAGTGAGTGAATGCATGTGTGCGCGCCCGCACAGCAGAGGAAATTCAAATATAATGTTGAAACAAACAAACTGACCTGTTGGCCTCAAGACTTCAAGAGGTCCCAGGTAGTGACATCTCATAACTTTACGTGGTTCTTCCATTGGAGTCGGAAACCTGGCATCTTGATGTTAAAAAAAGTATAACGAGCATCATGTAATGTGCATGTAAAAATGTTTTTGCATTTACTACACATGTGACTTTTAATTGTGGTGGCAGTGTTACAACAGTACACTTGTTACAACAGAACATTTGTTACAGCAGAACACTTGTTACAACAGAACATTTGTTACAGCAGAACACTTGTTACAACAGAACACTTGTTACAACAGAACACTTGTTACAACAGAACACTTGTTACAACAGAACACTTGTTACAACATTTGCTGATGACATTTTGATTTATCGACGAGGGCGTGATAGACAGAAGATCGCCAGCACAATGCACAAAGAACTCGATCGAATTGCCGCCTGGTGTGATGGTTCCAATGCCTATGTCAATCCCTCGAAGGCATCAGTGTCATGGTTCTCTTTGAACAATCACATTGTCAAGTCGGACTTACCAGAAGTGAAAATGCGTGATAATGTATTGATCAGAACCAACGTTATGACGTTTCTCGGGGTGAGGTTCGATCGCAGCTTGTCATTCAGGGAACACGTTGACCATGCGATAACAAAAGCACGCAAAGGTCTATCTGCAATGAGGATTATGGCTGCTTCCAATATCGAGCAAAGACTGCTGGTGCTTCTATTCTATGGTCTGGTCCTTTCCCCCATTGAATACGCTCTGGCCATCCTCACTGTCAGTGCTACCCAGATTGAACGACACGAGAAGGTGCAAAATGAAGCCATGCGTATTATTTTGGGATGTACAAGAGACACATCTTGTGGAGCAATGAGGTATCTACTTGACTTTCCAACAATGAACCAAAGGATCAGGATGTGGAGGGCTCGGGCATACCTCAAAATATGTGCTGATAAGAAACACCCACTGCATCAAGCGCTTTTTAGTGAAAAGGGCGACAGACTGAAGAGGAGAAAATCGTGGCTAGGTAGGGCAGAAGATGTTATTAGGCAAATATGCAGCCTAACCGACATCATACCTGGTGCAGAATGGATACCTGTGCCTCAGGCGTTTATTTGTACATTTTCCTGTATTGTCACACTCAACAGGCGATGTAGAGAAGATAATCCTGTTGCTGTTAATGCAGAGGTCAACGCTCTCATCGGTGAAAAATTCAGACGAAGCAGATGCACTAATCTATACAGACGGATCAGTTATACGCCAAAGAAGAAGCGCATGGGCATTTACAGCACGCTCAGCGGGCAGAACAGTCAAAGAAGCCAACGGCGCCTTCTCCATGACAACCAGCAGCATGACGATGGAG